CTGCATTACTAATATAATGGTGTTAATATAATATAATATAATGGTGTTAATACTTTATTATGAAACACTATATTGATGATCTTATAAATACTATCACAGTGTGTTAACACTGGATATCAGCAGTAATATCAATAATATTATGAATACTATCCCAGTATGTTAACACTGGATTTTCAGCAGTAATATTGATGATATTATGAATACTGTCCCAGCATATTAACACTGGATATCAGCAGTAATATTGATGATATTATGAATACGATCCCAGTATGTTAACACTGGATATCAGCAGTAATATCGATGATATTATGAATACTACCCCAGTGTGTTAACACAGTGGATTAACACTGGATATCAGCAGTAATATTGATGATACTATGAATACTATCACAGGGTGTTAATACAGTGGGCTAATGCTGGATATCAGCACTAATATTGATGATATTGTGAATACTATCACAAATACTATCACAGGGAGTTAATACAGTGGGTTAATGCAATGTTAACACAGTGTATTAACACCCTGTATATCAATAGTAATATATTGGATATTATGAATAATATCAGAGGGTGTTAACCCAGTGTGCTAACACCCTGGATATCAGTAGTAATACATTGGATATTATGAAAATATCACAGTGTTTTAACAACAGTGGATATCAGTGGTAATATCATGGATATTAGGAATAATATCACAGTGTGTTAACACAGTATGTTAACACTGGATATTAGTAGTGGTATCATGGATATAAGGAATAATATCACAGTATGCTTTCACTGGACATTAGTAGTAATATCATGGATATTATGAATAATATCATGGTGTGTTAACACAGTGTGCTAACAGACACTGGATATTATGAATATCATAGATAATGTGAATATAACAGTGTTCTAACACTGGATATTATTAATATCATCGATATTGCCACAGTGTGCTAACACTGGACATTATGAATATCATATATATTAATATCATAGTGTGATAACATTGGATCTTATATCATAGATATTATTAATATTACAGTGCATTACACAATGTGCTAACACTGGATATTATATAAATTATTACTATCACAATGTGCTAACACAGTGTGCTAACACTGAATATTATTAATATTATAGATATTAATATCATGGTGCTAACTGAATATTATAGATATTATCACAGTATGCAAACACTGGACATTATTAGTATTGTAGATATTATCAAGTCACAGGGTGCTAACACTGGATTTTATTTATTTATTTTATTATTATTTTTTTTTGAGACGGAGTTTCGCTCTTGTTACCCAGGCTGGAGTGCAATGGCGCGATCTCGGCTCACCGCAACCTCTGCCTCCCGGGTTCAGGCAATTCTCCTGCCCCAGCCTCCTGAGTCGCTGGGATCACAGGCACGCGCCACCATGCCCAGCTAATTTTTTGTATTTTTAGTAGAGACGGGGTTTCACCATGTTGACCAGGATGGTCTTGATCTCTTGACCTCGTGATCCACCCGCCTCGGCCTCCCACAGTGCTGGGATTACAGGCTTGAGCCACCGTTCCCGGCCAACACTGGATTTTATTAATATCATAGATACTATTAACACATCACAGGCTGCTAACACTGATATTTTTAGTATCATAGATATTAATATCTCAGTGTACTAACACTGGATATTATTGTCACAGATAGTAATATCACAGTGTGCTAACACTGTTTATTACTAATATAGATATTAGTAATGTCACAGTTGTTAACACAGTGTGTTAACTCTGGATATTATTGTCACAGATATAAGTAATATCACAGTGTTAACACAATATGCTAACACTGGATATTATTGATATAGCTATTAGTAATATCACAGTGTGCTACTATTAATAGTGTTAATACTATTAACACTGTATTATTACTATAATGGGAGTGTTAGGTTAATAATATAGTGTTATATGTTATATATTATATATATTATTAAAATAATAGTGTTAACACTAGATTATGAATATAAGTGTTAATACTACTAACACTATATTTTTAATATGATAGTGTTAACACTGCATTACTAATATAATGGTGTTAATACTTTATTATGAAACACTATATGATTATTATAGTATCGATACTATCAACACTACATTAATAGTGTTAACACCGTATGATTAATATAATAGTATTAATACTGTTAACACTATTAACATAATAGTGTGAATACTACATTTTTAATAGAATAGTGTTAATACTATATTAATAGGATTGTGTTAATCCTAGTAACACTATATTATTATTATTATTATTTTTTGAGACAGAGTCTTGCTCTGTCACCAGGCTGGAGTGCAGTGGCGCAATCTTCGCTCACTGCAACCTCCGCCTCCTGGGTTCAGGCAATTCTTCCGCCTCAGCCCCCCGAGTAGCTGGGACCACAGGCGCATGCGCCATGCCCAGTTAATTTTTTCCTATTTTTGGTAGAGACGGGGTTTCATCGTGTTGGCAGGAAGGTCTTGATCTCTTGACCTCGTGATCTGCCCGCCTCAGCCTCACAAAGTGCTGGGATTACAGGCGTGAGCCACTGTGCAAGGCCATAACACTATATTATTAAGAGAATCATATTAATCATGTATTATTAATATAATAATGTTAATACTAACACACTATATTATTAATATAATAGTGGTAATGCTATTAACACTATATTATGAATGTAAGTATTAATACTATTAACATTATATTAATAATATAATAATGTTAATAGTATATTATTAATATACTTGTGTTAATTCTGTTAGCACTATATTATTAATATTATTATTGTTCCCATTTTACAGTTGAGAAGCCCAGGACCCAGGAGACACAGGAAATTTATCCAAAGTCCCCACGCTGGTAACGGTAGAGCTAGAGTTTGAATTCCGATCCCTCCGCCCTCTATTCCTCCGCCCCCACCCGCCCATAGGCGAGGCGGGTGCTGTGGGCAGACGCCAGGCCCAGGTTTTCCCCCCCTCCACCCGCCAGGGGGCAGCAGGTAGAGAGGGCTGAGCACGCGTCTCCGCAGAGCTGGAGCTCGGCCCGGAGGCCCAGACTCAGCGGGCTCTGCGCTGGGGACTCTGGGGCCAACGGAAGCTCCAGGAGCGCGGTAGAGCTTGGAGGGGCGGGCGAGGGTCCCACCATGACCTGCCTGGAAGGCAGCCCAGCCCCGGGACGCGAGACCCCTACAACAGTGCCGCAGGTGGCGGCGGGGGTAGGGGGGAGACCAGTAGCGGTGCGAGCAAGGTGGCCCCACAGGTTGGGAGGGGAGAGGATGTGGGGAAGTCCCCCTATCCACCCAAGGCTGAGCGTCACCTAACTGGCTGTGGGCCCCCGCGGGGCAGGGGCTGGGGACGGATGGCCAGGTTAGGGCTCAGCTTCGGGTCTTGAAAATGTCCCTATGGCTTTGGGGCCACGGAAGGGCGGAGTCCTGGGCATTCAGGAGAAAGGGTCTAAGAGGATCGTCAGCAGGAAGGAACCTCTGACCCCACTCTGGGTCAATGTGCAGCCCAAGTTGCCACAAATTACTGGAGGAAACAGTGGGAATGGAAGGTCTCTTTCCCATTCCAACCCAGGATGCACTTTAGGTCGCCTGCTTCCTTTATCCCCAGGGCAGCTACCGGCTTTCCTGGGAGGTGCCAGGGCCTGGAAGGTGCGGGGCTGCAGCTCAGGCGCTGGAGGGGGCTCGGGGTCCAGGAACCTCCTGCCAAGCCAGTGGTCCTCAGATGCTGGTCCAGGCACCACCACGGAGTACACAGCTCTTCTTACCTCCTGGTGTTATGGGTCCTTTAAAAAATAATAATTTGGTCAGGTGTGGGGGCTCACACCTGTAATTTCAGCTTTTTTTTTAGACGGAGTTTTGCTCGTGGTACTCATGCTGTTGTTCACCAGGGCGGTGTGGGATGGGGCGATCTCGGCTCACCGCAACCTCCGCCTCCTGGGTTCAGGCAATTCTCCTGCCTCAGCCTCCTGAGTTGCTGGGATTACAGGCACACGCCACCATGCCCAGCTGAATTTTTGTATTTGTAGTAGAGACGGGGTTTCACCATGTTGACCAGGATGGTCTCGATCTCTTGACCTCGTGATCCACCCGCCTCGGCCTCCCAAAGTGCTGGGATTACAGGCTTGAGCCACCGCGCCCGGCCTTAATTTCAGCTTTTTGAGAGGCCAAGGCAGGCGGATCACTTGAGCCCAGGAGTTGCCTGGGCAACATAGCAAGACCCCGTCTCTAAAAAAAAAAAAAAAAAAAAAAAAAAAAACCATGGCTCAAGAGTTCTGACTAAAAACAAAAAACAAAAAACAAAATATCAGCCAGGTGTAATGGCATACACCTGTAGTTCTAGCTACTTGGGAGGCTGAGGTGGGAGGATCGCTTGTGCCCAGAAGGCATGATTGCACCACTGCACTCCAGCCTGGGTGTCACAAGAGCCTATATCAAAAAAAAAAAAAAAAAAAAAAAAAAAAAAATTTGCCGAGCGTGGTTGTTTACACCTGTAATCCCAGCACTTTGGGAGGCTGAGGCGGATGGATCACGAGATCAGGAGTTTGAGACCAACCTGGCCAACATAGCGAAACCCCATCTTTACTAAAAATACAAAAATTAACTGGGCATAGTGGTGCACGCCTGTAATCCCAGCTACTCAGGAGGCTGAGGCAGGAGAATTGCTTGAACCCTGGAGGTGGAGGTTGCAGTGAGCCGAAATCACGCCATTGCACTCCAGCCTGGGCTAAAAACAAACAAAAAAATTGAATAAAAACCAAACCAGTGATAGTAGATAAGTTGTATTGTTTTAAATGCCCTTGGCAAAATCAAAAGTTGGCAGTCCTATATTCCCCCATTCTCTCTCCTTTTCTCACACATCTACATGCGTATGAAAAAGCATTCTCTGGATCCACAGAATTTCAGACTGGAGAATCACTGAATTGAACTGCTGGCCACTGGTGGCTGGAGAGGCTGGCCTGACAGTCCCACCTGTGCTATCACTTTTCTCTTACGCAGGTGTTGCTGACGTTGGAGGACTAGGACATGAAGGGATTCTCCTGGGTCATAGTCCCGGCCTTGACCTCCCTAGGCTACCTGCTCATAGTGGTGGTCTCCATCTTTCCCTTCTGGGTGCGGCTCGTGAACCAGGAGTCCCACGAAGTCTTTTTCAGTGGTCCGTTTGAGAACTGCTTCCATGTCAAATGCTGGAAGCCTCGGCCCTTATCCAGTAAGGAGGGATGGAGGCAGGGATGGGGAAGAGGGAGATGGGGCCAGTATGGGGACAGAGGTGGGGGGTGAAAGAACAGAATCTGGGCAGAGAGGACAAAATCTGATTAGCTCAGGGCTGGACATAGTGGCTTGCACTTTGGGAGGCCAAAGTGAGAGGATTGCTGAGGCCAGGAATTTGAGACCAGCCTGGGCAACATAGCCAAACCCTGTTGCTACAAAAATGAAAAACAAAACAAAACAAACAGCTGAGCATGGTGGTATGTACCTGTAGTCCCAGCTACTCAAGAAGCCAAGGTTGGAGGGCTCCCGCTTAAGCCCAGGAGTTCAAGGCTACAGTGAGCTGTGATCAGGCCACTGCACTCCAGCCTGGGGGACGGAGTGAGGCCCTGTCTCCAAAAAACACAAAAAATTAACCAGGCTTGTTTAACACAGGGTAGACCCTGGGATATCTGGGACTTCAACAGTAACTTTGACTCCTGGTTCCACTGCCAGCTGCCCACTCTGCCAGCTTGGGAGGGTGTGCAAACTCATTTTCACACGGCTCTGCATCATGCCAGCAGTTGGAGAACAAATCACCCTGTTACCAGACTCTGGCTCTGCTAATTTTGGTTTGTTTCACTACTCCTGTTGTTGTTGTTGTTTTTAAAGATGGGGTCTCCCTCTGTTGCCCAGGCTGAAGTGCAGTGGCATGATCATGGCTCACTGTAGTCTCTAACTCCTGGGTTCAAGCGATCTTCCCACTTCAGCCTCCTGAGTAGTTGGGACTACAGGTGCACACCACAGCTCCCAGATAATTTTTAAATTTTATGTTTTGTAAAAACAGGATCTTGCTCTGTTGTCCAGGCTGGCATGATCATAGCTCACTGCAGCCTCTACCTCCTCGGCTCAAGTGATCCTCCTGCCTCAGCCCCCCAAGTAGCTGGGACTACAGGTGTGCCCTACCACGCCCAACTTTTTAAATTTTCTTGTAGAGATGGGGCCTTACTATGTGGCCCAGGCTGGTCTCCAACGCCTGACCTCAGGCAGTCCTCCCACGTCAGCCTCCCAAAGTGTTGAGATTACAGGCATGAGCCATCACACCCAGTCTCACTCCTGTTAACTAGGAAAATTAAATAAGGGTGTGGAGACTCTCTCAGAGTTCAGAACATTTTGACCTCACGAAGTTCTAATTTTCCACAGGTGAGTTATTTCAGGGTAATCAATACAGGTGTGATTCTCCACATTTGCACGTGCAACAAATTTTATCATGAGAGATTGATTTTGTGTTACTTTTTAAAACCACCATTTTCCCCTAGTGGATGATACATGGTTTTCCAAATTCACATAATAATATTTGTTAAGGCCAGGCATGGTGGGTCACACCTGTCATCCCAGCACTTTGGGAGGCCAAGATGGGAGGATTGCTGGAGCCCAGGAGGTTGAGGCTGCTGTGAGCTATGATGGTGCCACTGCACTCTAGCTTGGGCCGCAGAGCAAGACCCTTTTTCTACAAAACATAAAAATAAAAAAAATTAGGCAGGTGTGGTGGTGCATGCCTATAGTACCAGCTACTCTGGAGGCTGAGGCAGGTGGATTGCTGGAGCCTGTGAAGTCGAAGTTACAGTGAGCTGAGATCACACCACCATACTCCAGCTGGGGTGATAAGGCGAGACCCTGTTTCAAAAAAAGAAAAAATATTTATTAAGAACTGATGATTTCAGTGTCTGACATTGTCAATTTAATTTTTTTCATATATTTCTATGTCATTGGGAATCAAATTGTGGGGCCAGAGCATTCCTGGGGCCAAAGTGGCATGGTCACAACCTTGGTCCCAAGGCCATGCTTTGGGACCCGAGGGTGGTGGCGGGTCCGGGGGCCAGCTCTGTCCAGGCTTTGTGGGACTCTGTCCTTTTTGGGTCAGGGTTCTCAGCTTCAGCCCTGCTTCTCCCTCCCCTGCAGTTTACATCCTCCTCGGCCGGTTTTTCCTGCTCTCTGCAATTATCCTGGCTTTCCTCACCACCTTCTTCATGGTTCCCTTCGCAGCCAAGTTCTTCCCGAGGACCTGGAAGCAAAACTTTGTGTTAGCCTTCATCAGCTTCCTCACAGGTGTGGAACAGCCAGGTGATCCCTGACCTTTGCCAGGGCCTGGGGAGGAGGAGTCCAGAGAAAGCGGGGTGCTCAGTCTCTGTGATGTCAAGAGAGGCATAATTTTTCTTTATAGAGACAGAGTCTCACTCTGTCACCCAGGCTGGAGTGCAGTAGTGCATTCATAGCTCACTGCAGCCTCGACCTCCTGGGCTCAAGTGATCCTCCCACCTCAGCCTTCCAAGTGGCTGGGACTGCAGGCATGCACCACCTTAAACGATTTTTTTGTTTTTGTAGAGATGGGGATCTCGCTATGTTGCCCAGGCTGGCCTCAAACTGCTGGTATCAAGCGATCTTCCTGCCTCAGCCTCCTAATTGTTGAGATTACAGGCATGAGCCGCTGCACCTGGCCCCTTTTGACATTTATAAAGGGTGACCCAGGCTCCATCCTGAGAGGCTCCCAGGCAAATGGTGGAGGTAGAGCACAATGCAGTAGGAAAACTGAGTTGCATTTAATCCAAAGTGTCAAACCCAGAGGGTGCAACCTGAAGTGAGCTAGGGGCAGATGCAGAGGGTGCTAGGAAAGGGAGTTCTGATGATAGTTCCCTGGGAGGTGAGGCACATGGGCTTTCAAGATGAGTCGGAAAGGAAGGAGGGACAGGCCTGTAGGGTGGGAGATTTTTTTTTTTTCCAGAGAGGGGCCAAGGATGAAGGAACTTCCAGGCAGGAGCTACAGGGGGTGAAGTTTGGAGGGAAGGCAGGCAGCATGGGAGAAGAGCCAGGGTGCCTCCCTATAACCCTGCAGCGGCCTGCGCCCTCCTGGCCTTGGTGCTGCATGCCCTGGAGATCCAGGCTCTGCGGATGAAGCTCAGCCACCTGCAGTTCTCCGTGCTATGGCCTTACTACGTGCTGGGCTTCAACATCTTTCTGTTCATAGTGGCTGGTGAGTGTCCAGGGAACAGTGCCCTGCTTCTCGTCCTCGGTCTGGATTTAGGAGCCTGTCTTGTGGAGGCCCTCCCTTTGGATTCTCTAGAGTCGCACTTGTTCTAAACTGCAGCTGCCAGCTACACATGGCTATTTAACTTGAGTTAATTAAAATAGTTATTGGCCGGGCGTGGTGGCTCACAGCTGCAATTAAAGTACTTCAGGAGTTTGAGGTGGGCGGATCACTTGAGGCCAGGAGTTTGAGACCAGCCTTGCCAACATGGCCAACCCCACCTCTACTAAAAATACAAAATTTAGGGCTGGGGGTGGTGGCTTACACCTGTAATCCCAGCACTTTGGGAGGCCGAGGCGGGTGGATCACGGGGTCAGGAGTTGAAGACCAGTTTGGTCAAAATAGTGAAACTGCTTTTCTACTAAAAATACAAAAATTAGCCGGGCGTGGTGATGTGTGCCTGTAATCCCAGCTACTCAGGAGGCTGAGGCAGAGAACTGCCTGAACCCAGGAAGCAGAGATTGCAGTGAGCTGAGATTGTGCCACTGCACTCCAGCCTGGGCAACAGAGTGAGACTCCATCTAAAAAAAATTAGCCAGGCATGGTGGCACATGCCTGTAATCTCAGCTACTTGGGAGGCTGAGGCAGGAGAATTGCTTGAACCCAGGATGCAGAGGTTGCAGTTAGCTGAGATCACATCACTGCACTCCAGCCTGGGTGACAGAGCAAGACTCAGTCTCTAAAATAAAATAAAAACTTATGAATTCAGTTCTTCAATCATAGTAGCCACATTACCAGTGTTCAATAACCACATGTTTCCAGTGGCTATTGGACAACTGTCATATTGGACAGTGCAGACAGAGAAATTTCCTTCTCTGCAGAATGTTCTACCGGAAAGCACTGCTTTGGAGCTTCAACCCGATCCTTTGCTTTCCTGTTCTTATCCTTCTTGGCTTAGAATCAAACTCTTTCAAATTTGTATAGTCTCCCTTCCACTAACCTTTCTCCTAAGGCTGTCTATTCCTGTCTCTGTTTTTTTTTTTTTTTTTTTTGTTTGTTTGTTTTTTTTTAAGAGACAGAGTCTTGCTCTGTTGCCCAGGTTGGATTGCAGTGGTACAACTGTAGCCTCCACTTCCTGGGCTCGAGAGATCCTCCTGCCTCAGCCTCTTGAATTACTGGAACTACAGGCATGCGCCACCATGGCCAGCTAGTTAAATATATATATATATATATATATTTAGCAGACACACAGACACACACACACACAGACACACACACATACACACACATACACACGTGCACACGCACACACACACACACACACACAGCCAAGCGCCGCTGGCTCATGCCTGTCATCCCAGCACTTTGGGAGGCTGAGGTGGGTGGATCACCTGAGGTCAGGAGTTCAAGACCAGCCTGATTAACCTGGCGAAACCTTGTCTCTACTAAACATACAAAAATTAGCCAGGCATGGCGGTTCATGCCTGTAGTTCCAGCTACTTGGGAGGCTGAAGCAGGAGAATTGCTTGAACCCAGGAGGCGGAGGTTGCAGTGAGCCGAGATCGCACCACTGCACTCCAGCCTAGGCAATAGAGCAGGACTCTGTCTCAAACCCAAAAATAAAACCAAAATAAAAACATTATATTTTTAATATATTTTTATTTTTTATTTCTTAATTTCCCTATCTCCAAATACAGTTACAATATTTTATGTTTTAACCTTTTAATTCCATTTTTCCATGATTTCCATGAACTTTTTGAAGTTCCCTCACATTTTATTTAGAATGTTTGTGGCTTTGAGTGGGAGAGTAGTCTGCTATAATGCTGAAAATAGAAGTTGTCTTTTATCTTAGTCTTCACCTTAACACAGCATTGATCATTCACTCAAGATATCTCCATTTGTTCTTCTAAGTCGGAGACAATGTATTTGGGATTGAGTTTCACCCATGTTACCCAGGCTGGAGTGCAATGGTGCGATCTCGGCTCACCACAACCTCCGCCTCCTGGGTTCAGGTAATTCTCCTGCCTCAACCTCCTCAGTAGCTGGGACTACAGGCATGCGCCACCATGCCCAGCTAATGTTTTGTATTTTTAGTAGAGACGGGGTTTCACCATGTTGACCAGGATGGTCTCGATCTCTTGACCTCGTGATCCACCCGCCTCGGCCTCCCAAAGTGCTGGGATTACAGGCTTGAGCCACCGCGCCCGGCCACTGTTCTTTTTTAAAAGAGACAAGGTCTTGCTCTGTCGCCCAGGCTGGAGAGCAGTGGTGTGATCATAGCTTATTGCACCCTTGAGGTCTTGCTATGTCGCCCATGATAAGTCTTGAACTCCTGGGCTCAAAAGACCTTCCTGCCTCGGCTTCTCAAAGCACTGGAATTACAGACATGAACCACCATACCCATCCTTCATTTGTTCTTATTAATGTCAGTTGTCTTTCTTTTACTTCACTGAAGGTCTTGAGTTGGGCCTGGGTTTTGTATTGGAACTTCATTTCTCTAAACCCTTGTTTTTGTCACCCATTAATGGGCTAGATGATTGCTGAGGTGTCTTCTAGGTGCTGACTATGGGTCTGTGATTTTATTCATGTATTTGTATTTCTTCTCCTTTGATTTATCCTATCTTGGTTATACCCTAGATTGGGGGGTAGAATGAGGGAGGGCAGGTCTGGAGCCAGAGGGATGTGACCTCCAGGGCGTGGAGCTCTGCACTCTCTCTGACCTGACTCAAACCTTGGCTGTTCCCTAGGTACCATCTGCCTTGCTCAAGAAATAGCCTGCCCTTCCTGTGACTTGTTGTCCATTTCCCAGAGGATGGAGGAAGGCCATGGGTGCCTGCACCTGGACAATCTGGAGAGTTTGGGAGGAGAACTGAGCTCAGTACAAAAGGAGACACTGGTGACAGAAGAAACAGTTATCTAGCCCAGAACATGGCCTCCCTACCCTTCTTTAAGCCGTGTGAATGCACACATGTAGCTGATTGCAGGTCCCCCTTCTCTGCCAGTGTCTGTGCCTTTGCGGAGCTTCTTGCATGTCAGATCAACCCTCCACTTCCCCATATTCACAGCAATTCTATCTTGATTGTATTTGAAATTTGCTAAAAGTCCTTTCAACTCTTCTGAGCTTCCTGAGTGACATTTTTGCAGGTATCTTCAAGAAAAAGAAGGGCTGCTTTGTTCATCCATACCTCAAAAGCCAAGCCTGCGGGGCAGGAGAGGAGGGAGGAATATTACAAGATAGCCAAGAGAAATGGGATTTTGCAAAGCAAAAACCGTATAGAATACAGAATACACTTGGGGGAATGACGGGTATTTGGGCTGGTGGCATAGGGGTGAAAGAATTTACCAAGACACTTGTAGATAAAGAAAGGCAGATTTACTAAAGGAAGTATAAAAGTACATTGCCAGGGAGCAATGGGCAGAACCAGCAGAAGAGGAGCTGACTGAAAGGAAATAGAGGCTTGCTGGAGATTTCTTTTTTTCCCCCTTCTTTTATTGACTGATTGATTGATTGTACTTTAGGTTCTGGGGTACATGTGCAGATCATGCAGGATTGTTGCGTATGTACACACATGGCAAGGTGGTTTGCTGCCTCCATCCCCCTGTCACCTATATCTGGAATATCTCCCCATGTTACCCTCCCCGACCTCCCCACCCCTCTGCTGTCCCTTCTTTTCCCCCCCAACAACCCTTGTGTGTGATGCTCCCCTCCCTGTGTCCATGTGTTTTCATTGTTCAATACCCACCTATGAGTGAGAACATGCGGTGTTTGATTTTCTGTTAGCGTGTCAGTTTGCTGAGAATGATGGTTTCCAGATTCATCCATGTCCCTACAAAGGACACGACTCATCAATTTTTTTTTATGGCTGCACAGTATTCCATGGTGTATATGAACCACATTTTCCTTGTCCAGTCTATCATCAATGGGCATTTGGGTTGGTTCTGGGTCTTTGCTATTGTAAACAGTGCCGCTATGAATATACGTGTGCATGTGTCTTTATAATAGAATGATTTGTAATTCTTTGGGTATATACCCAGTAATGGGATTGCTGGGTCAAATGGAATTTCTATTTCTAGGTCCTTGAGGAAGCGCCACACTGTCTTCCACAATGGTTGAACTAATTTACACTCCCACCAGCAGTATAAATGTGTTCCTATTTCTCCACATCCTCTCCAGCATCTGTTGTTTCCAGATTTTTTAATGATTGCCATTCTAACTGGCATGAGGTGGTATCTCAATGTGGTTTTGATTTGCATTTCTCTAATACTCAGTTATGATGAGCATTTTTTCATATGTTTGTTGGCCTCATATATGTCTTCTTTTGAAAAGTGTCTGTTCACATCCTTCTCCCACTTTTGGATGGGTTTGTTTGTTTTTTTCCTTGTAAATCTGTTTTAGTTCTTTGTAGATTCTGGATATTAGCCCTCTGTAGGATGGATAGATTGCAAAAATTTTTCCCATTCTGTTGGTTGCTGGTTCACTCTAATGATTGTTTCTTTTGCTGTACAGAAGCTCTGGAGTTAATTAGGTCCCATTTGCCTATTTTGGCTTTTGTTGCCAATGCTTTTGGTGTTTTAGTCATGAAGTCTTTGTCTATGCCTATGTCCTGAATGGTTTTGCCTAGGTTTTCTTCTAGGGTTTTTATGGTGTTAGGTCTTATGTTTAAGTCTTTAATCCATCTGGAGTTAATTTTAGTGTAAGGTGTCAGGAAGGGATCCAGTTTCTGCTTTCTGCACATGGCTAGCCAGTTTTCCCAACACCATTTATTAAAGAGGGAATCCTTTCCCCATTGCTTGTTTTTGTCAGGTTTGTTAAAGATCAGAAGGTTGTAGATGTGTGGCGTTGCCTCCAAGGCCTCTGTTCTGTTCCATTGGTCTATATCTCTGTTTTGTTACCAGTACCATGCTGTTTTGATTACTGTAGCTTTGTAGTACGGTTTGACATCGGGTAGCATGATGCTTCCAGCTTTGTTCTTTTTGCTTAGGATTGTCTTGGCTATGTGGGCTCTCTTTTGGTTCCATATGAAGTTTAAGGTGTTTTTTTCCAGTTCTGTGAAGAAGGTCATTGGTAGCTTGATGGGGATAATGTTGAATCTATAAATTAGTTTGGGCAGTATGGCCATTTTCACAATATTGATTCTTCCTAACCATAAGCATGGACTGTTTCTCCATTTGCTTGTGTTCTCTCTTATTTCCTTGAGCAGTGGTTTGTAGTTCTCCTTGAAGAGGTCCTTTACATCCTTTGTTAGTTGTATTCCTAGGTATTTTATTCTCTTTGTAGCAATTGTGAATGGGCGTTCATTCATGATTTAGCTCTCTGTTAGTCTGTTATTGGCATATAGAAATGCTTGTGATTTCTGGACATATATTTTATATCCTGAGACTTTCCTGAAGTTGCTTATCAGTTTAAGGAGATTTTGGGCTGAGATGATAGGGTCTTCTAAATATACAATCATGTCATCTGCAAATAGAGACAATTTGACTTCATCTTTTCCTAACTGAATACACTTTATTTTTTTTCTTGCCTAATTGCTCTGGCTAGAAATTCCAATACTATATTGAATAGGAGTGGTGACAGAAGGCATCCTCATCTAGTGTTAGATTTCAAAGGGAATGCTTCCAGTTTTTGCCTATTCAGTATGATATTGACTGTGGGTTTGTCATAAATAGCTTTTATTATTTTGAGATACGTTCCGTCCATACCTAGTTTATTGAGCGTTTTTAGCATAAAGAGCTATTCAATTTTTTTTTTTTTTTTTGAGACAGAGTTTCACTCTTGTTACCCAGGCTGGAGTGCAATGGCGTGATCTCGGCTCACCGCAACCTCCGCCTCCTGGGTTCAGGCAATTCTCCTGCCTCAGCCTCCTGAGTAGCTGGAATTACAGGCACACGCCACCATGCCCAGCTGAATTTTTGTATTTTTAGTAGAGACGGGGTTTCATCATGTTGACCAGGATGGTCTCGATCTCTTGACCTTGTGATCCACCCGCCTCGGCCTCCCAAAGTGCTGGGATTAAAGGCGTGAGCCACCGCGCCCGGCCTAGGGCTATTCAATTTTGTCAAAGGCCTTCTCTGCATCTATTGAGATGATCATGTGATTTTTGTCTTTGGTTCTGTTTATGTGGTGAACTATGTTTATAGACTTGCGTATGTTGAGCCAGCTTTGCATCCCCAGAATGAAGCCTACTTGATCATGATGGATAAGCTTTCTGATGTGCTGTTGCAATTGGTTTGCCAGCATTTTATTGAAGATTTTTGTATCTATGTTCATCATGGATATTGGCCTGAAGTTTTTTTTGTTGAGTCTCTGCCAGGTTTTGTTATCAGGATGATGTTGTCTCATAAAATGATTTGGTAAGGATTCCTTCTTTTGTATTGTTTGTAATAGTTTCAGAAGCAATGGTACCAGCTCCTTTTTCTACGTCTGGTAGAATTCAGCTGTGAGCCCATCTGGACCTGGACTTTTTTTGGTTGGTAGACTATTAATTGCTGCCTCAACTTCAGCCCTTGTTATTGGTCTGTTCAAGGTTTCAACTTCTTCCTGATTTAGGCTTAGGAGAGTGCAAGTGTCCAGGAATGTATCCATTTCTTCCTGGTTTACTGGTTTATGTGCATAGAGTTGTTTGTAGTAATTGCTGATTGTAGTTTGTATTTCTGTGGAGTCAGTCGTGATATCCCCTTTATCGTTTTTTATTGCATCTATTTGATTCTTCTCCCTTTTTAAAAAAATCTGGCTAGCAGTCTGTCTACTTTGTTGATATTTTCAAAAAACCAGCTCCTGGATTTATTGATTTATTGAAGGACATTTTGTGTCTATCTCCTTCAGTTCTGCTGTGAACTTAGTTGTTTCTTGTCTTCTGCTAGCTTTTGAGTGTTTTTGATCTTGCTTCTCTAGCTCTTTCAATTTTGATAACAGGGTGTTATTTTAGATCTTTCCTTGCTTCTCTGGTGGGCATTTATTGCTATAAATTTCCCTTTAGACACTGCTTTAAATGTGTCCCAGAAATTCTGGTACATTGTGTCTTCATTCTCGTTGGTTTCAAAGCACATCTTTATTTCTGCCTTCATTTTATTGTTTATCCAGTTGACATTCAGGAGCCAATTGTTTTGTTTCCATGAAGTTGTGCGGTTCTGAGTTAGTTTCTTAATCCTGAGTTCTAATTTGAGTGCACTGTGGTCTGAGAGACTGTTTGTTATGATTTCTGTTCTTTTGCATTTGCTGAGGAGTGATTTACTTCCAATTATGTGGTCAGTTTTAGAGTAGGTGCCATGCAGTGCTGAGAAGAATGTATATTCTGTGGATTTGGGGTGGAGATTTCTGTAGATGTCTATTAGGTCTGCTTGGTCCAGATCTGAGTTCAAGTCCTGGATATCCTTGTTAATTTTCTGTCTTGTGGATCTGTCTAATATTGATATTGGAGTGTTAAAGTCTCCCACTATTATTGTGTGGGAGTCTAAGTCTCTTTGTAGGTCATTAAGATCTTGCTTTCTGTACTTGGGTTCTCCCATATTGGGTGCGTATATATTTACGATCGTTATTTCATCTTGATGCATTGATCCTTTTACCATTATGTAATGCCCTTCTTTGTCTCTTTTGATCTTTGTTGGTTTAAAGTCTATTTTATCAGAGACTAGGATTGCAACTCCTGCTTTTTTCTTTTTTTGCTCTCCATTTGCTTGATAAATCTTCCTCCATCCCTTTATTTTGAGCCTGTGTGTGTCCTTGCACATGAGCTGTGTCTCTTGAATACAGCACACTGATTTGTTTTGACTTTTTATCCAATTTGCCAGTCTCTGTCTTTTGATTGTGGCATTTAGTCCATTTACCTTTATGGTTAATATTGTTATGTGTGCATTTCATCCTGCCATTTTGATACTAGCTGGATGTTTTGCCCATTAGTTGACACATTTTCTTCATTTTGTCGATGGTCTTTACCATTTGGTACGTTTTTGTAGTGGCTGGTACTGGTTGTTCCTTTCCTTGTTTAGTGCTTCTTTCAGGAGCTCTTGTAAGGCAGGCCTGGTGGTGATGAAATCTCTCAGCAATTGCTTGTCCATAAAGAATTTTCTTTCTCCTTTGCGTCAGAAGATTAGTTTGGCTAGATATGAAATTCTAGGTTGAAAGTTCGTTTCTTTAAGGGTGTTGAATATTGGCCCCCACTCTCTTCTGGCTTGTAGGGT